GTGATAGTATGCAACCTTGTTTTACTCCCGTCTTCAATTCGAAGGCTTCACTGAGCTTCCCATTGTGAATTACTTGGCTAGCATTTGGAGTCTTCATATAGTTGTTGAATGAGGCTGATAAAGGTTTGCGGTATTCCGTAGTGTTGAAGCAACTGACAAATTACTTGTCGGTCGACGCTGTCGACCGCCTTTTCAAAGTCGGTGAAGTTGAGTTGACTGTCGTTCTATACTCTGTTCTATGATGGTGCGTAGGCTTACAATTTATTCCGCACATGATTTGTACTTCCTGAATCCAGCCTGTTCGGGTGGTAGTTTTGAATCCAGTGCATCCTTTAATCTCTTCAGGATGAGTTGGTTAAATTAAAACTTCTTCGAGCTTTGATATGTATTCTACGATAGGTAGTAGTTAGGCTAGCTGACTTCATCAACTCTTACTTCATAGAGAAGTGAGGCAGTTTCTAGTAGCATAAATGTTTATGTTTATGACCTCAACAACCTAGTCTTTTATAGCAATTTACTAGCATAACGATTTGAACTACACTAGTAATCTACCGTTCACTTTTGATTCATGTGACTGGTTTTCATTTGACTGATCCATTTTTATTGATTCATATATTGCATCCCTGTTCACAAATCTATGAACTATGATTTCGTTTTAGTACCATACTCTTAGGATTTCTCTTACAGTTTTTGATTTTCAATTATTATGATTCTATTTCCTATAGAAACTTAATTGTGAATAGTTATAAAACTTAGAAACCAGAGTAGTTTATCAATTTTATTTTAATGAAATATTATTGTTTACAAGTCAGTTTCTTTTGCAGAACAATCTCTATCAAATAATAAGAAAAGAAAATAAAGTTTTCTAAAGTTCATCAACAAATATACAATCAAATAAGTTTACTGCTTAATATCTTTTGTATAAACAGCTGAATAAATAACATTCACTAGTTCATTTATTAACTAGTGATTACTAGAGACATTAATATTTAAACTATAATAGTATTGTAAACATTTGTACTTCATGATTACGTAAAATGATTTTTTTTTTTACTCCGTTGTAGTTAGCAGATGAATCCAGGACGTACGTTTCGTCCTATACGGGACTCCTCAGCTGGATTTATTTTCACCCCTGTGAATGATATTGTTCCCACTGACACTTAAACCTCGTACCCATCTCTCCAAACACCAAGGCGTTATCCACTAAGCCAATGAGCCATGATAACTACCTCTTGTACAATGGGTGTTAGTTATTACAATAATAAGTAGTAAAGTTAATACTGTTTAGGATATATAAAAAAATAGTTAGCTGCAATTATCTCTTCAAAGTCATTAGACTAGATTTCTGAGGATTAGTAACATTAATTACTAGTTTTTATAGTTGTCACACAGTGGTATAGCTTGAGGCGATTTCGATTTACTTGTGGATACTGCTTACTGAACATACACATATATACCTCAGTTTACCATTGAACACTTCGAAATAAAGTTTTCTAGTTAAATACTCAATTCAACCTTCCCTTTTGTTCCCATACTGTATAATATTCGTTAACAACAATATAAATGCAATGAACTAAACATTATTTTTAATGATTTCCAACTACTTAGCCTTCCCTAAACTCTCAGTCTATCAAATAAAGGCAGAGACAAGATAACACTAGTTACTGAAACTATTCACAGTCTACTTTTTCCGGTTTCTTTCGGAAGTATAAGTTTATATGTTCATATACATAAAGAGAGAAAAGTAGGACTGAGAAATGTGAGCATTTTATGTAGTAAAGATATTCAGCTTCCTTTAAAAATGTAGTGCTCACCATCATTTCAATTTGATTGATTTCGGTTGTTTTTTAAGACGATTCCCTGAAAAACAGTTTTGTTAGCGGACAAAAGTTTAAAATAAAACCAGAAAATATGACTCTTTTATACCACCAATGATATCCCATCTTATGTAAGTTATAGAATTGAACCCTTAAACAGAAAATATTTCAGTGATCTACCAACCACCTGTGATAGTTATTGAAATTTACTAATCAGGCACAGATTATTTATATTTTAGCTGACAACAAATGATAACTACATTATTAATCTTCATCAAGATAATTCGGTATTATTTGATGTCATCTTTCTGTTATTTGAAGTTTAAGAGGTTCAAATTATGTTCGGTACCCTTCAGTATCGAAACAAAAAGCTTACAAACAATATATAAGTAATGCTGGATTAGTAATAATAGTGAATAAAATTGACTTTTGAAGTTAGTGATTATGACAATGGTAAAAACAGATTAAGGCAAGTTTCCTTTATATGTTTATGATTCCAGTGAGTAAGATAAAGATTTCAAACTAGTTATTTAACAGTTATACTCCTTACAATTCGATTAATGTTTCTTTGCAGCCATAGAAGACAGTTTTGTAGAAAGTGTTTTCTTGAAAGTTCGTATACACACACTGAACAATTCAAATGCTGAAAATTATTCTTCAGTCTACTAGGAAACATAAATAGGCTAGAGAATATGACTGCCAAGGTTGAAAGAAAAATATTCTACCTGAAAAGTCAAAAAAATCATTGTTGTTTTCAAGATATTAGCAGATTAGCCCCATTTGAAGTAGAAATTTATGTAATTTATCTTCTTAAGCGTGGTATTGAGTGTCTACCTTTGACAAATACAACTTTATATTTTCGTCCACAAACTCTATTTAGAAATCAGTCAACCTACAGAACATAAAACTAGTCCAGCTCTCTTTGATTCTCGGATAACCCTACATTCTAATTGGTAATCAACTCTTAACTGTTTCCGTTGCGTGTTTGTAAGAACTTTAAATCTTTGCGTTAGATTTTAAAAGTCAATTGACAGGAAGCCCTGAATCTGAAGGCATTTAGAGATTTTACTAATAAGCTATTTAGGTCTCGACTAACCCTCCGTAGGCCTAAAATGAGTAAAAGATCCGGTCGCCAATAAATAACCGATATAACCCATTGGAACTAAGTGCTCAGTTCCAATCAAAGTCTGAAAACTAAGTCTGTAATGAAATCACGAGGCTAGGTGATGAGATGCACCAAGGCAACAATAATTTCGTCATGGTGATGTCCGGTTCTCAGTGATTGACAGCAATCGCGGTACCTTGATATACGACTCCCTACTGAATGACTCCGAATAAACAACACTTGGATTCTATGTAGTTAAGGGTTATATCACTCAGTTTAATGATCACATAGTAACCTTCATTAGACTATGTATATCAACACAATTAAGGAAATTATCATCTGACTTCTACTTAACATCTACAGAAACTCAGGGTTCATCCTCACCTCAAGTCATCATACAGTTGTATCATAACTCAGACAGTGACTCAATATCCTGTTGGTCATAAAAGTTACAATGTTTACCATCAGTAGGGTAAAGTCGATGAAACACTCTAATAGTTTTTTTCAGGTAAACTGAATGAACACAGTGGGTGAATACAATGAACCAAATAATGCAATTAAGTTTACAACAATTTCGTAACTTTTCAATGATTTCCATGTAAGATAGATCCATCTAGAGATAAAATTGAAAATTTTAAGGCTCAAAGGTAGACCACAACCCTTAAACCTTGTCAGAAATTGGTTTTTCAATGCCCTAAAGGACTAAATAGCGAAAACAAATGTGATTTCTATCTACTTATTCACAATGCGAAGCTCAGTGAAGCCTTCGAATTGAAGACGGGAGTAAAACAAGGTTGCATACTATCACTCATGATATTCCTGATTGTGGTCGACTGGATCACGCAACAAACAGTGAGGAACGAGAAGAGGGGGATACGCTGGCTGGACCCATGAAAAGATCCTAGAAGATTCGGATTTCGCCGATGACTTGTGTTCAATGTCACACAAACTTGAAGATCTATAGACGAAAACTAACAAGTTGACAGAAGAGGCGAGGCAAGGCATGGAAGGAAGACGGGACTTCAAGTGAAGGCGGAGAATACAGAGGTGGAGGTGATGAAGATACCCAACCAACACGACCACCAGCAGCAGCAGCAGCAACAACAACAACAAGAACAGGCACCAATCACGATGAATGGGAGAAACTCAAAGGAAGTTGTCTCTTTCACCTACCTAGTCGAGGCAGCATCGTCTCAACTACAGGCAACAGTGGCACAGATGAGGATGTCGAAGTAGTCAGGATCGGAAAGATAGCGAGATAGGCGTTCATTAGTCTGGAACCAGTGTGGAGATTTACTCCACTCCACTCCACTCCACTCCACTCCACTCCATTCCACTCCACTGCACTCCACTGCACTGCACTCAGCATAAAGCGTGAACAAGATCCAGAGTTTCAACATCAATTCAGTCAAGTCAGTGTTTCTATGTGATGGTTGAGAGAGTTGGTGGCACGTTGCGAAAGGTATTTCCAACAAACAACTGCAGACATTCATCAACAACTGCCGCCTACGCTCACTCGATACTGAAACTGAAGATCAGGTGGATGGCGAGAATAATAAGAATGAGCAACAAGGAACTCACTCTGGTTGACTGTCAACGAACCAGGCAAGAACCTGTCGCTGAACAAATATGCAGTAGGAGGATGTGGAGATGGATTGCAGTGGGCATACACTGAGAAGGCAGACTGAGGACATCAGGCACCAGGTGAGATCGTCGAGTGGAACCCAGATGGGTGACGACGAATTGTGTGTCTGAGGTGAGGGTGACATTGAGGAGATTGTGTGAGGAAGAAATGAGAGCTTGTAGGCTGTTGTGGAGTCAGGTTGAAAAGATTGTATAGAAGAGAGTGTAATGGAGGCGTGTGGGTGAATCAGTATGTTCTATTAGGAACCCAGGTAATGAATAATAAATAATAATGACAATATATTCACTTTTAGTCCAATGATATGCGTTGTTTTTGATATGGTAGTTATTTCAATTTCTTTAAAATACACGTTACCAATCAAGTTACTGAATAATATAATTCATGTAATTAAAGAATAAAAAGGAAGGAGAATATACTTAAATTTTATGTGAAGATGAAACATACATTTCTTAATCTAACTTTACTACATTTTCTCTTCACAATATATTTTAACATTATAGCACATAATGCTGCAAAATACATCTACGATAATAATTTCTGTCTTGTTTATTTAGGTATAACAGATGAATTTTGTAGAGCAAATGAAATCTGCTCAAATTATGGGAAATCAGTGAGACAGTCAGCAACCCTTGTCGGTGGAAAATTTTTTCAAACAATGAATTATACTATAAATATACCACAATCATTTTGGACAAGTATTAATCAAATTGAACTAATGAATGAAAATATTGTAGGGTATGAAAATGTTAGTAATTACTGGATAGATAGTCAATCTCATGAACCACTTTATATCAATCAACTGGAAACAGATTTAAGAAATTTTTTTAAAAACATTGATGATTACAGTGGAAAAAATGTCGCCTATTATGATCATAATAAAAAGACTCTACAAATAACTCATTCAAAACGTAAAGATCCCATTGCTGTCATATGTGAACTTGGTGGTAGTAAAACTTGTAATGCTTCTTACGATGAAGAATTCTTAGTGATAAAGACATTTCAAAGGTATCTTTATCAAAATGATAAACGATTATTTGCAAACAATCCATATTTCTATGGATGTAGTCTACACAATGGCAACAAAAGTAGGCTTGAATGTGCTTACAGGTTAGTCTTTTATATAGTTTTATGTTGGATCGAATGTATACTGTCTGGTGTATTTTTTTATTGTTCTATACAATTCAATTGAGAATGAATGAAATGTTTCTCTTACCCCGTCTTGTAGTGAGTCAACATTACCTTACCAATAAGTTAAACAAAGTGTTAAGAAGTCGTCCAATACCAATAGGTTTCTAGTGACTTCCCAGTTGATATTGGTTTACAGCGAAAATCGTTATTAAAATTATCACTTTCAGATAATCATAATACTGTTCACCAGCTCACTGTTAACTAATCCTCTAAGCAGTAAATAACACTTATGTTGTATATTAGAAGAGCATAAGTATTATAGGATAATCGACTTACAAATAGTCTAACTTGACATTTCTGACAGCTGAGTAGTTTTTCAACTGTCCTAAATTTATCAGAGTACACCACTGATTAGCTCAGCTCCGAATGAGAGAAACAGCCAATCAGTGTTTAGATCACTCTGATTTAATTGATGAGCTCTGCGTGATTAGTTTCTAACTACTCAATTTATTCAGTAGTATATCTAGCAAAAGTATTACGTTCCTAAACAATTAGATATAATAATGTAAGATGTCTTTATTAAGATAACACATATGCTCACATTAAGTTGCACTGATATGATTTCGCAGTTAAAAGCAACCATTCCTAAATGACCATTGACTATTGAATTCAATCAAGCATTGAAATTTAATTTAAGTGCACACGGAAAGTGTATGTTCCATTAAATCATATTTCGATTATACAACAATTGGATGAATTCCTAACAGTGCGGAAAGACAAAATTTTGGTTACAGCGAAGAAAAACTTCCTTTTTTTCACAAACTCATTTACCAATCTGTACATTCGTGAATATGTGTTATAGTTTGTAGAACATTTAAAAAGAATATTCTTCATCACCAACCTTCAAATCATTTTCTCTTGAAACTTTCTGGTCGATGTGTGAAAACCAAGCTGATGTATCGAGCTATAACAGTGCGTATATAACAGTTAACTTGCTCCAATGGAGCTGAGTACATCAGGCGAACCATAAGTTCACTCGTGAACACTACCTAACCGCGCTGGTAAAGGGACAAAGGGAAGGCATTTTCAGCTCAATAACAGAACTCATTCAACATCCTGTAAAGAGTTCGATCGAACCACTCGAAGAAAGTAAGATAAAGGGGAATCGGGGATACCTAAAGCACTAACCATTCAGAAGTTCAAATCAGTCATTTTTCTCCGACAAAGGTACGTTCAACCTTTGTCTTTGCCGTGGCCATCACAAGACTCAGGCTATCATAGATTTATCCTGCATTACGCAATTATAATTTTTACTTCCATAACCCCTTGTTTATTTTCTTAATCTGATCAGACATAATTCTGGAATGTTCTACCCTCTGTAACATTTATTCACAAATGTACACCTCAGTAAATGACTGTCTAGAAAAGAAAGAAAGTTTTCTTCACTACAACCGCCTTTTTGTCTTTTCCTATAATCAAATCGGTGGATTCTTAATCGTACAAAACAGTGATTCGCACAGAGTATATTACGTTAACTTCTGCAGTATGTAGGAGGATCTTTTAAATAACACTCTCAATTTGCATACATCATCATCATTATTATCAACAAAGGACCAGGCATTACTGCGTAACGGTCCGACTTGCCACACCTCACGTCAGTTCATCGAGTAGAAAGGTAGTGAGGTGAAGGATAAAGATAAGTGAATGCAGTCAAAAGAAATATAAAGTACGAAAAGAAAAGAAAGAGTGACAAAATGGTGAGATTCGGTATAGCGTCGTTAAGATGAGGATAATGTGTGTATACATCTGCACCACTGACTTCGGTTCTGAGCCATATCACCTAGGGTCTCCAACCACTGGTTCCTCTTGTCCCGTGGACCCCAACCACCTAGTCTGCATCATCCTACATGGCTTAAACCAACAGTCAGAGACTTCATACATTGGTGCCATGTTTTAGTCTGGCCACCTCGGGCCTTTATCCAGCCTGGACCCACCTCAGCCAACATTGTGTGATGAGGCAATCGGTGACTAAGCATACGTGGTACGTGTCCCAACCATCTGAGTCGATGAAGTTTCACAACCTCGTCGACTGACTTACCTCTAATCCCCAAAACTCTACACCTGAGTTCTGCATTACTCATGTGGTGACACCACGGAATACGTCCTATATTACGAAGGCAACGGTGATCAAGCACCTGAAGCCTTTGATCAACACCGGTAATTCCTTGTACACAGAGTTATATTTTATTTCTGAGTACCATCAACGTAATTCCTCTTACTTTGCCGGCATGATGCAGCTGGTTCAAAGTTATCTTAATAATATTACACTTCAAATTTGAGTCTTTATAATTTAAGCAATCCTTTTGTTTTGATATTACTTAGTAAACCATGTAGTTTGTTTTTCGAAATCAACAAGACAACAGACAGTAGACAGAAATAACACTTATCCCCTTTTTGAAAAATATAATTGATACAAACAGCACTCGAACTACTATGTTCATCAGTTAATTGAGGTGACGCAGTTATCAAGATCGCATCAGTTTGGCAAAAGTTCCTATTCCAGTAAGTTTAAAAAACTCCGTTTATTGACTCCAAATAACTCTATTAGTAACCCTTACGACTGCTGACCAGTGTTTCACTTGACTAGCATACCTTTTAATGAAAATCGTGTCAACTCCTCTTGTAGATCAGATGACATGGAACCATGTTAGCTTACCTGTCATTTTCATCTCCTTTTCCTGTATGCCCTAATTTTATATAGCTTTATCTGATATTTTGCCCGTGACCTTAAAATAACTAACATAGCTGTTTTCACACCGTTGCTAGTTTTTATCCTCCCCAAGGCTGAACTCTCATTGGTTGTTAGCTATTTTTACTTAGATGTGGATTGTGTTGTCAAGGTCATTTAGAAATATATACATTCACCTTTTCTGTCAGTTGTATTGACTGTTGCTGAAAGAGCAAGCTGTCTATTAACAGCCTGTCTTCTCTACTTGTCTTCGCGCGTCGATGGTATTGTTGTGGTGTTGGTTGACGTTCTGATTTGCATTAGAGTCGATTGGTTGTGCGTTAGGTTCGTATCGTTCGTAGTCTGCAGGATTCGTAGACTGTTAGGTCTTACTACTGGTCAAAGGACATCCAAGTACAACTATCAGGGTTATCTAGCGAATGCTGAAAACCTTATCTTATATTGAACTTCCATTCATCTTTACATACCAGCTCCAATGCATTTTGGTCAACATGAATAAAAGGTTGCAAAAAACTCATGTATAACTATTATCGGCTTTCTGCCGATTGCCTCCAACCAAGTAGCATCCACCAATGTGCACGGTGATACTCAGTCCCCTATCTTGGTGGTAACATTGCAAATATGATTGATAGAATTCGGTCTTCACTCAGGACTAGACGATGTGAAATTGGTCGCTCCTCCGTGACCAGTTAATGTATGTGTTCATAATCACCACAATCACAAGGTACACATCTAATGATCAGTGGAAAACAAAGTAGTACTGTTTAGCCCTATGCGACGATCAACTACTGTCGGAAAAATTTATGATTCAGTCACTAAGCTTGACATGGTTAAGAACTCTAAATGAATACATTTGTGTACCAGGCGAACATCCACAGCTATTGTGTGACAGTAAATGATACTACCTGGCTGCCCAACCCTCAGTAGATGTTGCAGAGTTCGAACCCGTAATACATTGATTGGAAGTCAACTCCCTAAACCAGTGAGTTATATTTCCTCATCGAACAGTAAACTTTACTAATTGCAGTCAAATTTATTCCGAATAATTTGACTACTCATAAGTAGTTAACATTTTTGTCAGCATTAATTTCACAAAATTCAAAGCAAAGTTGGTTCCACTATTACATATTTCTTTCCGTTTCAGTTGTATGTACGGCGACAGATGTTCACTTTTCTTTCATGACAAGATAACAGGAACTTGTGTTCTGACACGTTATGTCAGATCTTCAATGCCTCTAAACTATTCAAGTGAAAAAGGAGAATGGAGTGGTTACTTAGTGGTGTGAATATTAGTCTGAGTTTTGTTCATATACATGGAAATATATTATGTATTGAATGTGAACGTTGTAACCATTCAAACTATTCACAAATAAATCATGTATTCACCAACAACATTATATTTGTTCTACTAAGTAGACCATTTCAGCCCTTTAGGTGTTTTGGTCGCTTTCAACAGGTATAACGATACTCACTGACAGATGTACATCAATATCATTTGATATGTTATTCTTACAAATGACTTCCTTCCAGAATTTATGCCAGTGTTGTTGTTCAGTGTACTAAGAGGAAAATATTCACCACTTAATAAGCCAACTTACAAAATCCAAAAAAATTTTCGCCATTATCTTAGAGTTAGTATCTATCTATGTAGAAGGCGACTGATTAGTCTACAGAGTACTCTGTAATCGTACCCAACGGAATACTCTGTAAGTAATAATCTGGTGTAAGTGTATAGCTACCAACAAACATCTAATACCAATAAAACACCAGCTCCCTGGTAGTCTCTAAAATACTGATGGATCATTTTCACCATGATAGCTAGTTTACAATGCTTGTTAAGTGTTAATTTGATATTCCCTAAACCACTTATTTCTATCTATAACCAACTTTCCCTTTCGAAGCTAGAGCGCAGATATGACCAAGACTTCAAATATACCAGAAGTCAGAATCTTTCTACATAAATAGTCTGACTGCTTACTACAGTGCTAACCGAGCAATTATTAACAGAAACAGTAGACCATCATGAGAGTGTAAATTATTTGTTGTGTTGCGGTATCTGAGCTGAATAATTTAATTGTGAAGCTTTCACTGTCTTTCTAGACAACCTCCTCAGCACTAATTTCAAGTGAACTAACCGGATTCCCACGTAATTCAGTAGCTTGTCTGACTGAATGGTTTGCACGCGGTAGTTTCCTTCGATTGTTTTATCACTGAACAAATCGATTTTCTTGTTGGCTATTTCTTTACCTGACCTTGTAGTTGTTCATTTTTCTTACTGGTTGACAGACTGGGTATATGTCTATTTATCAATTGATTTCCGACTGACCTGAATCCCTAGCTTTTAGGAATTCTCCGGAGATCTTTGTTTCTTTTGTCCCACTTGGAAATGAACTCATCACTAATCATTTGTTGATACTTGTTGTTATACTGGGTCGGATTGCTCGATCACTATTGGTAAATTGGCTCCCACAGGGGTCGAACAGTTTGACCCAGTATAGCAACAAGTGGTGGCTATCGTACCCCACTGGTCTGGTGAATAACGCTTTAGCATTTGAAGTGATGGTTACTTGGTTCGAGTATTGGTGGGAACAACATCATTCACTGGGGTGCAGGTGAAGACAGCTGGTGAGTCCCAAGTAGGACGAAACGCCCCTCGAGGATGCTACTGCTAGCCATTAAATAGGCTACCATCACTTATCAATTTAAAATGCATAACCTAATCTACTAATCTATAACTCTTGCGTACCAATTATCAGGAAATGTTTCTACAAGTCAATGCATTGAAATTATCGCTTTGTGATTCGTTATTCCAAGTAAGTATTAGAACAAGTATTCCCTTGTTTAAGAGAAATGATTTTCATTAGGTTCAATAATTCTTGTAAAAATAAATCACAAAGTCAGTGAAATGCTATTAAATAGTTATTAGGTGTTGTTGTTGTTGTTGTTGTTGTTGTTGGCAGTGGCGATGGTATTATCATCACGTTTAAGAAATTCATCACTATTGAAAATAGATGATAAAATGACCAATGGAATATCAAAAGTTTCATCGTTGACAAGAACAATATCGTACAGTGAAGTGAATAGTTCCATTCTTTCATCGATCTGACAACAGGAATAAATAAATAATAAAACATGAAATCAATAATTAGATATTAACAGAAACTTGAGATTATGACACAACTTATATACTTTTAAGAGATGGCTCATAAAGTCTGTAAGACTGTAATAGTAACCTACAGTTTACCTAGCAATCTACTAATTGAGTTACTACACGAAACTCTAGCCACCAAGTGGCTCAATAAACTATTCTATCAGCTTCAATCAACATCCTTGAATGTGGGGAAATTAGCCTCCTGATCACGATCAAATCATACAGTTTAATACACGATAAGTAATGTTGATTAATCGATCATTTAAAAAAGTGACTGACAACAATTCGCTTGAGTGACTGATTCCTGATATGATTCTAGGAACGGTTAGCTACAAAATCTAGTGGATATGTTCAATCACATTCGAGACTCATCAAACAGATTCTATAACATTAACAATCGAAAATAAAGACTTGTATTTAACTGAATGATATGGCTTAGAATTGATTGCAGTTATACACAGATACAACTACACATTACCTTCATCTTACATGTTATATCATACTCTATCATTCATCTTAATCCTTCTTTTCTTTGTTCTCTATCTTCAAACAACTTTTATTATATTACTATCATATCTATACAATCCAGTCCAGCTACCTTATGTGAGAATGTGCTTAAGTGACCTAACACAACTTTGAACAATAGGTAGTACGGTGAAACCCCGTGTCGTTCACGATTTACCAATTGACCATCAACATTTAAGACATAGTTCAGTAAAATTGTCTACTATTGATTGTTTGTGCAGCGGATAATAACCTTAGGGTTTGAGGTGATTGATGCTTAAATAAAAGATACTCACTGAAATTTAAGTACAACCAACTTTTAGGCTTAGAATACAGCAAAATATGTTCAATGAACTCCAGTAACGAAAACCACCAAATTATCATTATACTTCCTTTTTATATGATCCTTGATCTCTTGTCTTGCTATGACCTACTATTCTATATTTAGCTGCGTTCTTATGCTCTGCTAACCCAATCGACTTCAATTGGTTAGTTTGACCTGTCTTTGACCTCCTAGTCATCGCACGGAATTCGGTGGGTTACATTACTATTCAACAGCTTCGGTGGGATCTCTGGACTAACAAATTTTGCCTTTAAATTAGTGTATAGGCAAAAACACCAGTCTAATTCTAACCTTATTAAGAATCCTATGCAGAACTTCTGATGTCTCTTCTTTGCATAGTAAAGCTATGGTGGTTTCAAAGTCCTTCCACCGCATGGTTTCCCTACACACCGGTACTAATGTAACAACTACAGAAATACCGTACAATACAACCTGCAAATACTTATCATGTTTTCATAATAACACTTATTCTAGACATTGTGAAACATTCCAAAAATTCAAATAAGTTAAACGTGATAACACCACACTATTTTCAAAATAAATAGCGTTGTTTTCAGTACCTGATTATAACTGAGACTTGTCAAACACTGATAGAAATGCGAAACATTTCAAATGACTGATTCAGAATCAGTTTAGGTTTTGTTAAAAGATCTACACTACTGCTCAAGTTTTATAATAGACAAATTCACAGTATCATAAAGGTAGTAGTTTTCTTTAGTGTTCCTCATTCACTACTATGAGAAGACAGACAAAATGAGAATAGCATATTATCTAATATCCACTGTGATAGGAGACTACACCAGTTACTTTCCAGATGCATGTCAATGACAAACTTTAAAAGTGACTTAAAATCACATCAAGAACCTCTGTTAATCCTCATGATCGAAACATGACTACCACTTAAAGGTGTAAAATTTGGGCACTGTGGCAGAATTTAATTCCATATTAGATTTTTTTATTTGATATATAGCGCACAGTGATGAAGTATTACTTACTTAATGACGTTGGTTGGGACACGTACTATGTAGGCCTAATAACCAACTGCCTTGTCACACAATGTTGGCTGAAGTAAGTTCAGGCTGGAAAAAGGCCCAAGGTGGCCAGACTAAAACATGGCACCAATGTATGAAGTCTCTGACTGTTGGTTTGAGCCATGTGGGGCGTGCAGACTAGCCGGTTGGGGTCCGCGGGACAAGAGGAACCAGTGGCTGGAGACCCTAAGGGATATGGCTCAGAACCGATGTCAGTGGTGCAGATGTATACACACATTATCCTCATCTTAACACTATACCAATTCTTACCATCTTTTTCATTCCTCCTTTCTTTCTTCTCGTACTTTATATTTCTTTTGACTGAATTTTCTTTTCTTCATCTTTTCTGGTCCTGTCGCCTTCATATTCTTTGTTTATATTGGTAATAAAGTTTCCCATATCTCTAGTGAAGGTGTTGCATCATTCCTATTACATGTGTAGGGTGTAGATTTGATGAACAAAGATTCAGTAATCAATCTATCTCTCCACCTAATTATATTGGACTTTATTAAGTACAATGGTTTTATCCTACCCACCCTATTGTGTGGCTGTGTGTCATGCATGCATTGCAACAGCCAAGTGTTTTTCTAGATTATGGATCTTATTCTCTATTTAGTTAACTTCTTATGTTCTGCCATTCTATCTGACTCCGATCGGCTAGCCTGACCTATGTATTTTGCCATACAATTATCACATGGAATTTGATAGATTAGATTATTTTGCTTAATTGGATCTATCGGTTCCTTAAGTTGGCAAAGCTTATCTCCGAGTGAGTTTGTAGGCTTAAATGTCACCCTAATTCCAGCCTCGTTGAGAATCCTACGTTAAGTTTCTGATGTTCCTTCTTTATATGGTGGAGAGAGAGGTTGATTATAAGTCGAATCTACACCCAACACATGTGATAGAAATGGCGCAACACCTATGCCAGAGATATGGAGAAAAATTTTACCAATATAAACAAAGAACATGAGGTGACTGACAAGACTATAAAAATCAGTAGTGTGATTACACTGATATGATTATGAGCAATATTAATTTATACTCGAAACGTCATCAAGTAAATAATACTGTATCACACACTGTGCATTATAAATTAAATAGACTAATCTAATATGGAATGACTACCATTTAACTGAAACTTAAATGTAACTCAAAGATCAAGTGCAATTTGGTGCAGTATACAACGAATCGTGTGTACTATATGAGGCGCAAACGGTACTACCTAACTGTACAAGTTATGACCCACTAATTGAAAATCGAAAGCCTAGACTGAGCCACTGATTCACTAACGCTCAGCATATCACACTATCGAAACAAATATTGCTACTTAGTGTTATTGCTTGTATGACACCGTCGTTGATTGGATCGAACTCATCAGTCTCTGTTGGCATATGGGCTCCTGTGCGGATGCCTCGATATTATCAGCAATCTGATTATGTTAAGGATGGATCATGGCTAGCAGTGGAATCCAGGATGCGCACTTTGTCCTATTTGGGACTAGTCAGCTGGATGCACCTGCTCGGTGGTGTAGTGGAAAACGCTCTCGCGTTTGAAGCCGTCGCTCCCGAGTCCGAGTCTCGGTGGGAACAACTACCGCTGCCTATCATTACTATAAATATTGCTACTCATCGAAATACACAAACATTCAAACTCCTTTTTCTTAAAACGTACTTATAATTTCAATGGAAACAGACAAAACGGATACAGAAAGTAACTTGAAAAACTCACCTTTTCATTTAAAAATCCTATACGAATAACAATTATCTGTCCACTGGAAAATTTCTGTCTGTTGTCAATCATAGCTGCATCATTATCTGAGTCACCAATCAGCAAAATACAAGTCCTTTTTGACAAAACTGTCTCATAATACTCAGAATTTTGTATTATTTTGTATGTTTTATTAAGTGAATGAATGACAGGATCTTGAAATCCAACCAAACGCCCCTATAAGAACAACTTTTTATGTGAATGAAGGTAGAATAATTGCATACTTCAAACTATGCACGATAATTAAGACAACCGAAAAAGTATCGAACTAATCAAAAGTGAAATAAAATATCAAAACAAAAGTGAGTTCCTGTAACACAAAAGTACCTTATAAGGCTAGCACACAGAATGAAAACAGATAGGTAAGTAAAGGTGATTTCGCAACCACGAATAGACAGAATTAATCTAGCTCTCATTAGTGACTACCTTCGAGAGATGATTCCCGAAGTTCCAATGAGAAGTCGCGACCAGTGGAGTCAACCAAGTCGAACATGAAGACAGTTACTCAACGACAACATCGGATGTAGGTAGCGCTATATCGCAAACTGATATGAGGAGGAAATATGGACCACTGGATTCCAACCCAGTGGCTCAATGGGAACGTGATGGTCACGGAACCCGAAGGTCCTGGGGCTCGATCCCTGACGGGGTCATGGGTGTGCACTGCTGAGTCCCGTACCAGGACGAAACAGCTGTCCAGTGCTCCTAGGTTTCCAATTTTCCCCCAACTGATATCAGTCCGTGATGAGTTCCAACCTAAAATCAGCTAATAACCCTCCACAAACCTCCAGATAGAGATAAATTAAATTATGAGCAACACAATGCCTGCTTGCGAGGTAATGCTTCTACCTGGGTTCCTAAACCACAATGGGAAGAGCATATTCGAAAAAATGATTGCTTTTTGTCTATCAAAAGCTATAAAATGACAAGCTAAAAGTTCGCTTACAACTTGTATAAATAATGAAAAACCCAATGACCAAAATGGTGACATAAACCAGCTAGACAGTACAAAAATAAGTCGACAAGCTAGAAAAACCATGAAAGTGCAAAAATAAATGCATCGAACAGACAGACATACAAAGTCAACGTAGAGTTGTGTACACACAAGTGCACCAATTTAAGACGTAAAACTCCACAGTACCACAGATGGGCAGAAAAAGTGACATCAAAGTAAACAAAGTTGCGCGAGAGAATAAATAATCTGAAGATGAAGGTTCGTGAGAATACTCAAGCTCTAGAAGATGCCAACGAGTGAATACATCTGTGCCATTGTGACCGATTTCAAGCCACATCACTCACTGGTAAAGGCATTTGACTTCTAACCAGTGTATCCCTGGTTCGAATACACCTCTACCTCTTAAGGTCTATTTATCCAAGAAGTATTACTAACTCTCATACAATAGATATGGCTGAATGCCTACTGCACAAATGCAGAGTCACATTTCAACCCTTCTTACATTTTCACATAATTGTGTAGATTGCGATTGAAATATTGTCAACTCGAACATTCGATTGAAGCATACAATTATTTGGTTGAAAGAAGTTTTTGAGCATGAAACTCTGACAATAAGAGCGAAGACGGGTTTCTTCGGATAAGTTTAAATTAATAGTATGAAAACCCATGTGAATACCATTGAGAAACCGACTACATTTTCAACTACGATAAGAGACGCCCAATAGTAACAGTGAAAATAAGGAATTATACTTAATTATTATTATTTGTCCCTTGGGTTCCTAATGGAACATATTGCTTCACTCCAACGTCTCCATTACACTCTCCTCTCTACAATCTTTTCAACCTGACTCCACGACTGCCCAGAAGACCCCATTCCTTCCTTACATAATCTCCTCCATGTCACCCTCACCTCAGACACCCAATTCGTCGTCACTCATCTGGGTTCCACACGACGGTCTCTCCTGGTGCGTGACGTCCTCAGTCCTCCTTCTCAGTGTATGCCCACTCCAATCCACCTCCACTTCCTTCATCTGCATATTTGTTCAGTGATAGGTTCTTGCCTGGTTCGTTGACAGTCAACCAGAGTGAGTTCCTTGTTGCTCATTCTTATTATTCTCGCCATCCACCTGATCTTCAGTTTCAGTATCGAGTGAGCGTAGGCGGCAGTTGTTGACGAATGCCTAAAGCTCGTTGGGAATGCCTGTCGTAACGCGCCGCCAACTCTCTCAACCATCACATAGAAACACTGACTTGACTGAATTGGTGTCGAAAATCCGGATCTTGTTCACGCTTTATGCTGAGTGCAGTGCAGTAGAGTGCAGTGGAGTAGATTTCCACACTGGTTCCAGACTAATGAAGGCCTGTCTTGTTGTCTTTCCGATCCTGGTTGCTTTGACATCCTCATCTGTGCCACTGTTGCCTGTAGTTGAGACGATGCTGCCCTGCCCAGGTAGGTGAAAGAGACAACTTCCTTTGAGTTTCTCCCATTCATGGTGATTGGTACTTGTTGTTAATGTTGTTTATTGGGTATCTTCATCACCTCCACCTCTATCTTCTCTACGTTCACCTGAAGGAAGTCCCGTCTTCACTGCCTCCCTCGCCTCTTCTGCCAACTTGTTAGTTTGTTGGATGTAGATCTCCGAGTTTGTAGGACAAGACACTAGACATTAACCATCATCGACGGCGAAATCCAAATCTTCTAGGGTCTCTTCACCGGTCCAGCGTATGCCCATCTTCTCGCTCCTCACGGTTTGCTGCATGATCCAGTCGAACAAAATCAGAAAGATGATCGGTAGTAGTAGGCAAACCTCTCTCATTCGTGTCTCCACTTCAAAGGCGCCACTGAGCTTTCCATTCTGAATCACTTGGCATGCAACATACTCATACAACACATAGCTGTTGAATGAGGTTTGTGGGTCAACGCCATCAAACCCTTTGCAAAGTCGATCAAATTGAAGTAAAGAGTTGACATTCTATGCTCTATGATGATGCGTAGTGTAGCGTTGCAATTTGTTCCGCATGTGGTATGTTCTTCCTGAAGCCAGCCTGTTCTTAGTCTCCCCAGGATGATGTGGCTTAATATTTTGCTTGCTCCAGGTGGACAGTAGCACGATTCCGCCCCAGTCCTTGCAAACACTGACGTCTCCCTTCTTCACCAGTTTCACAAGGTAACCCGTCTTCCAATCAATGTGCAGGTACCTTCCCTTCCCTTCCCTTCCCTTCCTTACTTCCTTCCTTCCTTCCAAACCTTCTGCAATAGTGGTGTGGTGTGAGCACGTCCGCTGTTGTCCCCGCGTCTGTTCTCAGTGCTTCTGGTGGCACCCCATCTCGTCCTGCTGCTTTCCCGCATTTCACTAGCTTTATCGCGTTCAGGACTTCCATCTCTGTTGGAGGATTCATGTTCACTTGTAGTTCTGTGGCTGGGCTGCAGGCGGTATTTCTGGACGAAGTGCAGGTGGTCGTGGTCGTGGTGGTGGTGGTCGATTCAACAGCTTCTTGAAGTGGTCAGCACATCGTTTCCTTTCTTCCTCTTCTTTCGTAATCACATTCCCTTCATCATCTTTTATTGGTTTCACCTGTGTTGATCTCTCCCCTGGTTGTTTGATATAATGTTGTCAGGCCTCTATCTCTCCTACCAGCAGCCTGTTCCGCTTCACTTGCCTGCCAGTCTTTCGTAGAAGTGTCTTTCGTCTTTCCATGCACTCTTCTTCATTTCTTTGTCCAGTGTAGTGTTTTATACATTGTACTCAGTTCCTCTTGTCGTTGAGCATCCTTGCACTGGTTCATCTTCTGCTTCACCATCCTCCAACTCCTCTCCCTCCTCTATCAGCTTCCATATGTCCATCGAGATCTATTCCTTATCTTCTTCCTTCTTAACACGGTTGTGCAGGTTCCTTTCCACATCTCTTTCAAACACTTCCACTACTCTTCCACACAGGTCTCTTCAGGGATGTTCCTCGATATCTCCCACTTTGTCTCGATGGCTGACCAACGTGAAGATTTCCTTTGTAGTTTCGTCCTTCAGTTTCCCAGTGTTGTACTTCAACTGTGGTCTACCACCAGCTTCCTTCAAGGCTTTTAACTTGATTCGGAGGCTTCCTTGTACCAGATAGCGGTCTGCTCTTCTTCTTGACCTTGTGTCAAGTAGGCTGCGTATCCATCTCCACTTTCTTCACATTGAGATAAAGTCGGTCTGATTTTCAGTGTAGTGTGTCCTGGTGTCTGGTGAAATCCATGTCGCTTTGTGGATATTCTTGTGCTTGAACACACTGCCTGGCCTCCAATCACCAAATCGTTGAATGTACAGAATTCTGCAGACAATTCTCCATTCTCGTTCATCGCCTCACCGAGCGCTTCTCAACCCGTGGTTAGTTCTCTTCCTGTGTTGTCCCCTCCCAGTTTGGCATTCATGTCGCGCATTAGAATTTCAATATCGCCAACTGAGGTCTTATCCAGTGTTGATTGCAGTTGTCTGTACTTAAGCTGATAGAGTATTGAAACGTGAGTCTTTTCTTATCGAACTCTATATATATATATATATATATATATATATATATATATATATATATATATATATATATATATATATATATATAAAGTGGATCATTACCTCATAGATTCCTCTAAGACGCCCTAAATTCTCCGAAAGCTTTCACAACTAATCACTGTACACTGAACATTCACGAAAAGTCACTTGTTCATACCTGTGGGTGTTAGATTAGCTAAGTGTCTTTCTAGGAAAGTGTGGAGAATATGAAGGCTGTTGAAAACATAAATGTACCGTAACATATTGCACACATTTTGAATCGACAATAAAAATTATAACATTTTGCTGCTTCTTTCTGTTTTCCAGGAACTAAGTGACCCTTAATGGTGAAGTCTAAGGTTATTTATTGTTCAATAGTCTATATTTTTATCACTCATTGACTTTACAACAATATACATATGAAATAATAAAAAAATATTTTTCAGTTATACAGTTTAATATACTAATTATATTTAAAATTAGAATCAAAAATAAACTGGCTTCTAATGAATTTTTGAAGTTCAATTCAATATGAAGTGTCACATGTTTTCATATATTTTATGCCTTGTACAAGTCAATGGATGATGAAGTTCATCGAATTATATCAACTAAAAAGTTATTGAGAACAATTTTTTTTAATTCAAGTATTATCTTATCTTGAATATTTAATGAGATATATAACTTCTTACCTCAGAATTGAAATCCATAAAATTTGATACTATACGAATATTATCTAAAGGTATATTCAGCGCCGTTAAAAGTGTTTCAATCACATTGCCTATACCACCAGAAAATATAATCATTGGTATATTGTTTTGAGCCAATTTGTTCAAAAAAATAGTTGCATTATCTCTAACAATAAAGATAATTATAGCGTTATATTAAAATTATAATTAAAAAAACAACATTACATTGAAAAGGTGAGTCAGTAAATAAGTGTACGTGATATAAAGTGAGTATTGTCATACAAAGCATAAGTACACAATAATTTACGCTAGCGAAATACCATTAGTTGCGTAGTATGCGTTAATGCGACCATCGCATTCAATACAGTATCAGACTCTTAGTCCTAGAGTAACATATTTAAGCTTGAAGTGAGGCATCATAGTGGAAAGAAACATTTAAGCCGCTAAATTAGAGTGATTATGGTTCATTCATTTAAAATGCTCTCAAATAACTTACCACTAATTCAGAAGCGTATCCACTTACTATAGTTTGAAAAACAAGACAGACTACACAATAAACATAAATCTTGACTGAACATATAAACTTGTACATTGTCACTAAGCTGCATTATTAGGTGTTTTGAAATGTACGAATATTGATAGAAATATGCTAGTGTCGTTTTATACAACCGTGTCAATGATGAAAATAAGCACGGATATTAATTGGGAGAATATTTCCAGAGATAAAATATCTTCAAGTGTTAACCGTACATCGAATATCTACTGATATCGACGGCTTCGTGGAGCGATAAAAGAAGCAGATCTGCAATGAAAGCTTTTGGCAAATAACTTTGCATCAAAAGCATCTAAATAAATTATATTTACAGACAGTGAAAGCAGCATAGAGAAGTAAAAACTCAGTCGCACTACATTTCAAGTTGTTATTCATCGTAGACTGACATCCGTTGGAGGAACAAAGGAAACCTGGTAGCACTGGACAGCCGTTTCGTCCTATTATGGGACTCCTCAACAGTGCGCACCCACGACCTTCAGGTTCCGCGGCCAGCGCGTTACCATTGAGCCACTGGGTCAGAGTCCACTCGTCCATATTTTCAACTTCTGTTAGCTGTGTAAAAGTCCTTTAAATTGAGAAACAATATAACAATTTCAAAATCGATGTTGTATGTACATTCATACAACTTTTAAACAGATAACATTTACGATCAATCGATCCTCATATACACATTAAGATGAAGAAATCAGTCTAAGCTCTATGTTTTTACAATTCGGATACTTTTTATCCTTCACCTACAAGAACAGAAAGGCTTTTTAGATACTTCGATAGTATGTTTGGATGATACAGATGAAAAAGATTCGATAAGCACTTTCCTTCTTACTAAGATAATCTTTAGAACTATTAATGTGTTCCATCTTATTTTATGATAGTGAATGAATTGATGTAATAGAATGATTGAGCTATTATCCAAGTTTATAAGTCCTGAACCATCATTCATCCATCCAAACCAACATAGGACCAGGGCATTACTGCGTAACGGTCCGAGATACCACAGTTCATATCAGTACATCAAGTAAAAGGCAGTGAAGTTGACGATGAAGAAGTTCAGAACCAGTTGAAATTGCATACTTCTGAAATGTTTATGACCTCGGTTCACCACCTTAATCCATGTTATGCTTCCAGTAAATTCCATGAGACTTAGGGACTGAGTATAGAAATCAGTAGAATTATTCACGCAACAGTGTCATGAAGTATGTCAACTGACTACGATTATTTCACTAATGTGAAACGACGACCTCAGGTGTAAACAAATTCAGGTAAAGCACATCCTAATGTTAACACATTACCAGTCACTGGGTTTAGTAAGTTTTGTAGCTGACGTATATCTATGATTTATTAGAACTGCCAGAAAGTATGACCCAACTCTTAATTGTTGAGAAAGAATGCTTCTTTTGCGACCTACCTATTGGTTAGATTCATGGTTCAATTGATCAAGTATTTCGCCATACGTCTCCAATGGCAAAGTGTATAACCAAGATTCTTACTATAATTAAAAAACCAAATTTTCGTTCCATTTATATGTCTAAAAACGGATCAAAGAAGCTATCTGAAGTACCGCAAAGGTGGTTGCCGGTAGTTAACCCTCTTGCAGTATGCACTTTTAACTTTAGTAGAACATTACAAATTGAAATTCTACCGGTAGTACACTGAAAAAGATGGGTCGATAAAGAGGAATTTGTTTACAAAAAGCAGGTAAATAGGGTCCCGACCGATAGCTGCTACCTTGACGTGGTGGTCAGGCTCGCATATCATAATGACCCAAAGAGCTATGCTGGTGGAACACTTATTCCCCCGAGGTTCTACCATACCAGAAAGGTCTGCTGGATAGTGGTTAGACGAAAAGCAGTTACCATACTACACCATGATGGAGGTCTGAGGGCGAAGTCGTACTGCTGCTAGCTGGGTAGGGTTTGACAGCAGTTAAAGTGTTTCCCTTGGATGACCAACAGTGTCATGCTGATGCTGCCTTCTCAGTGGAACGGGGGTTAGATAAGGTCAGCCCTAAAAATAACACACTCCGCCATACCCCACGGTCTGCCAGGCCAGCGGTGTTGGTTCATTTGTCATTTCTTTTCGACCATCCGGCCCTAAAACAACTAGAGTTTAAAACCACCATACACAAAAGACTGCGTGTGGCAGGCCTCAAACAGATGTCCGACGAGCTCTACGGTCACACAAATCTCCTTTGGGTACCCTTAAGAAGAAATAGCCTTCCACAGTGTTGGCAGCCGGGAAGTGTCAACCGCCCTCACAATTCTGTTAGTACTCAAGTCGCTTCACACTGCTATCTACCTCACTCATCATTACCTTCTAATCTTTCTTCACGTCTCTCTATTAACGATACTACGTCATCTTCAAAGTCTCCTAGCTCTGCAGCCTTCGACAACGACCTGAATCCACAAAACAGGATACCTGGTTTCCTTAAACTACGCTCCAAATTACACATCGAAGCCTTCAGTGTCCACCTCGTCCGTTAAATTGGTCAACACGCTTCACTGGCCAAGACTCTAGCAACTCGGGTCATGGATGCGTGCTGTGTTTGTGAGACACGCATACAGGACCCAAGTGTGGTTATTCACCTGACCTCTCCTGACCAATCTGGTGAATCCGCAAAATTCACCCTTCGAGTTTCTGGAGATTCGATGGCTAGCTCTCGTGGTCTTGCAGGTGTAGGCATAGCATTAAGCACTAGGGCAGAAAACTCACTACTAGAATGGATCCCAGTTGATATTCGCCTCTGCGCTGTCCGGTTGAACGGCACAGTAAAAACTAAAAGGAATAGTGGGGCTCGTCGTTGTCTCTTTGAAATCTCTCTCGGATGAAGTGAAGGACGAGTCCTACCGAAAACTGTCGAGCCTCCTCTCGAAAGCCAAACGTTCAGATGTGGTGGTTGTTGCAGATGATTTCAATGCACAAGTGGGTAGATTAAGTGAGGCAAAAAGGCACTTAGGTGGCACTTTCGGAGTCCCAGCTAAAGGAACAGATAACGGTGATCTTCTACTTCAACTGTGCTCAGATAACCGCCTATTTTTAGTCACCACAAATTTCAGACACAAAGAAAGACACTGTCTGACGTGGTGACCACCGAGCTCAACTCAGCAATGGACGCAGATAGACCACATTACTATCAGTCGTCGCTGGAGAGGGACGATGGGAGACTGATGCTCCTTCTGGAGTACGTGTTTGGATAGCGACCACGCACTGATCCGAGTGCGTATATCCTTCAGTCTCGATGGACGTAGGAAACATTTGGCAACAAAACCACTGCGAGTGCTGCTGGATAACGAAAACACCAAAGCCGTGCTCAATGAGAAGTTGGCCAGGAAGTTATAGGAACAAAACACTACCACTCACTCAGAAGCTTGGTGCCATCTCCAGTCTACTGTAAAAACAGCACTGGAGACTGTAACCGACTCCAAAATAATGGCTAAAAAGAGCCAGTGGATATCGGCAGCTTCTTCCGAATTAATGGATGCACGTGAACGAATCCCTGCAAGCTCTGAGTACAATGAAGAGCGAGCACAACTTAAAAGTAGACTGATGAAAAGTCTGCGCAACGATCGTGAACAGTGGTGGGCAGCGAAGGCTAAAGAGATGGAAAAGGCAGCGACGATTGGTAACAGTAGGTAGCTATTTAGACTTATTAAGGAAACTGGGGGGAAAATGTCGACTGCGGTTAGTGAGACTATAGCGGAGAAAGACGGGTCTGCGATTCACTCGCAGGAGGGACGACTGGAACGATGGGCAGAACACTTCGATGAACAGTTTAACTGGCCTCCTGCCACCAGTGCGTTGCCCGCTATCCAGTCGGATCCTGAATGAAATATTCAGATAGGCCCCCCAACACTTGCAGAAGTAGAGAAAGCTGTAGGTAACTTGAAACGAGGAAAGGCAGCAGGACTAGACGGACTAACTCCACAGGTATACAAGGATGGTGGTAGACTGCTCTTAGTCAGGTTAACGGAAGTCTTAACTAGTATATGGGAATCAAATACGATCCCTTCTAACTCGTCTAAATCACTGATTATTCCAGTCTTCAAGAAAGGCGAGAAGTCCTCTTGTGATAACCACAGAGGAATCAGCCTGACGAAAATAGTGTTCAAGATTCTAGGCCCTGAGTGGTGCTCGGGAACAGCAAGCCCAAGAAAACCAGGCAGGATTTAGACCCAGCCGTGGGTGTATCGACCGAATATTCACACTGAGCCAGGTCCTGAAATATAGGCACACTTACCGATGCCCGACAATAGCTGTATTTCTCGACATGAAGGTGGCATTCGACTCCGTCGATCGAGAATTCTTATGACAATGTCTCTCACTGAAAGGTGTGCCGAGTAAGTACATCATCTTATTGAAGGTTCTTTACCCGAACACCTGTCGGAGTGTTAAAGCCTATGGTGAGATGTCCAGGGAGCTGTGCTTGTCGAGTGGTGTCCGTCAATCGTGCCCACTCTCTCCATTCTTATTCAACTTCATCAGAAATATTCTCGTCACGTGACTACATAGAGGTTGACCTAATCGCAGGAGAATTTTCGTTAGACCTAGAATATGCAGATGACATAGCCCTGCTAGGTGAAGACGCTGACAAGATGCAGAGTCTTCTGCACACCCCA